TTTTTTTTTTTTTTTTTTAGTAATTTACGTTTAACGCAGTACTGAACTGCATTTGCCTTTTTTTTTGGTCTCTGCTGCTGCCTGATTTCATACTTCTGGTTCCTAATGAGGTGTGTCATTGACTGGTCAGTTAATAATTCTGGTGTTTGTAACTCTGAGGTTTTACTGTCCTCTGGGCAACGCAGAGAGATTTCCACTGAGTCCAGAGAGAGGGATGATACTGCAGAGGTGACTGAGAAATTCCCATGGGGAAAGAGGGATATTTATGGATGGAGAGTCCCTTCTGTTTGTGAATTTTTTTTGGGAGGGAGGGGAGGAGCTGATTTGATTTCATATTTGTAACTGCATTTTTCATATATCCTTTATAACCAGTAAGGGAAACAATGGAGCTATGTCTTTTCTCTAAAGCTAATGGCCATTCATACCTTACTCGTTTCATTTCCCATAAGAAATATTGAAGTAAGTGCATGGGTTGCCTTTGGAATGATTTCAGCTATCCATATTCCTCTCCTTTAGGCTGAACCGATGTCCTGATTTTATAGGGACAGTCCCAATTTTGGGGTCTTTTTCTTATATAGGCTCCTATTACCCCCCACTCCCGTCCCAATTTTTTTCACATTTGCTGTCTGGTCACCCTACTCTCCCTTTTAAAGAAATAATGGTAGTTCTTTGCAAGCACTATTAAAGAGCTTCAACTTGCTTTTGCTTTTACAAATTACAAATAACAGCAACAACATTTTCAAAATGCAGTATTTAACATAAGCAATAATTATTAGAAAAATATGGTGGATTATATTAGAGATGGCTTAAAGTACACAAGAACAAGGGAATGGTTTAGTGAGAGACCACATAATGATCTCAGCTACATGAAGCAAATAAATGTTAGGCCACCATTCTGACCTTCACTTGTCATTTGAGTTGCTGTGAATGTGGTGGTGGTGGTATGAGATGGAATCTCTCCAACTTTTTACTTCATGCAATTTGGATGTGCTTAGGTTACCGTTCCTCTTCATTAGTACTTATTCTCTTGAGTTTATTAATAAGGAGTTGTACATCACAACCAAGAAAGATAGGTGCACCCAAAGGAATGTGCATTTAGAATATGTTTGGGAGTAAGTTGAATTATAGGGTGATTAAACTAATTTAAATAATGCAAGTATAACAAATGCCTTTTAAGAGAGATTTTTATATTTTTTTAAAATCATCTTTGGTTAAGTATTATGTCATGCTGATTATATGTACTTTATAAATTATCTGTTTTGGAAAAAGTAGTCTATTTGTGTGTATTTAAAAGATATATCAATAGATCATTTAGTAGTTTTATAAATTTTACTGTACAAAATACCATGCTTTTCTGGTTGAGTTGATTAAGAATAGAAGGTATTTTAGAGAGTATATTATTTACACAGATTAGAGTACATTTTCTGCCCCTTAGAGTCGGTATAAGATTTAGAGTGCTAAGCAGCAGTTTTCAAGTTTCAGCATACTTGAGGAGAGGATTGCTTTTGGAGCAGTTAGCCTCCTGGAGAGAGAGAGAGAGAGAGACCCAGAGGGAGTGTGTTTCTACTAAAATACTTCAAGTCAGTAGACCAAGCTGCTGTATTGTGGTCAAAATCAAATGGATCACATGTGGGGAAGCCTGCAGTTGTACTGCTAGTCATTAGTAATAGTGTTTGTTGCTATGGGAACGACTGCTAAGGAACTGTACAGAGGGATTCAGATAGAGGGGAAAATCTGGAAGAACATAAAAATAAAAAAGCAATCCAGTTGTTATAAAATAAGAGACAATCTATACACTGATGATTGTGATCCTTATCTTCCTAAATGGTCCACTTAAATAAATTTGTGCTTTCCAATTAATTGGACAATAAAATATTACTGAGGGACTGTTAATTTCTATGATATTTCAGGCAAAGAATGAAAGTGTTTGGTGCAGTTTTCATGAGAATTTTAGATATGCTTGACTAGGAAGTCATTACATCACATTTATCTGTTTGGATGTGGGAGACATTAACAGCTTTATGAATATTCATGTTTGGTTAATTACGTTAATTGTTCTGCAGAAGTGCATGCACTTCCAAGGACAGGGTGGATTTTTTTGTTTTTGTTTTTGTTTTAAATTTCTGCCTGGTACCTCCATCAGTCACGCTTTAGATGAACTATTACACTTTTGTCCTAACTCTGATGCTTTCATGAGGAGATAGTGAGAAGTAGCTTATATTGTCAAGGAAAGAAAAGAAAATTCTATCTAGAATTTTATTTTTCTGGATAAAAAACTCTGTTGTAATTTTTTGTTAAAATATATTTTGTGATAGTTCTGTAGAATAGTGCCAAAAGTTGAATCTTTTTTTTAAAAACAAATGGTCTAGTATGAGTGGTACCTAAATATTTAAGGCTAAATAATGATTGCACTGTGTAGCTTATGGGTTCACTGCATCCATTTTCTCACTCTCCCTAAAGTGACAAGGTGCAGAGGCACCACCCAGTCTCTGTTAAATTTAGGGTAAATAGCATCTCAGGCTAGAGAGGAAGGAGGACATAATTTGGGAAATGAATCAATAGCTTAGAAAGGCAAGCAAGTATACTTTTAATATTTTGCCTATATATTGTCTGCCTGTTTAGTGTTTACCTGTGTTGTCTGTAGGTTTTTTGCAGCACATTGTACATTTGTGTAATACCTGGCATGAGGGGTTCCTGATCCTTTATTGGGGTTGTTGGGCACTACCATCATATAAATGTTTGGTTGGAAGAAAAATGTTGTAGCATATAAGTGGATGTGTTCTAGATATATTCTTGATGGTACTGGTGGACAGGATCTTTTCTGAGCAAAAGACCCAAGTTGTCTCTTTTTTTTTAAATGTCAACATGTATTTTGCCTTCTCCCGTGAGTCATAAAAAGATGGATTGTTGTCTTGTCTTCAAGTGAAGATGTGCGTGTTCACAGCTTCTAGTCTAGTACATAATATATAGATTTTAAGAGGCGGGAACAGTACTTGGGGCCTATTTGTTTAGTAAGGACCTGATCAAACTCTCACTGAAGTCAATGGGAAGATTGCTGTTGACTTCAGTCAGGTCCTAGCTGATCATAAATTCGCTTCAGGCTGCAGTAACAAGTTGCTTCTGCTTAAATCAGGCATCCCCAACAGCTTCAAAACAGAATGGTCCTGATCTATCAAACTATATTTCACTCTATGCAATGTCTTTATTGGCTTGATCCTTAAAGATATCAAGTGGAAATTTTTCAAAAACATAGCACCCCTATTGTAGTGAATAGAAAGCAAAATTATTTTTGAATAGTTTCTAATAACCCAAGTTGTGTGATTTTTGGGGATTTTTGTATGCATATGTTTTTTCTCCTACTGTAATTTTGGAGAGGGAATTTTGCATTTAAAACCCCTAGTAAGTTATTAGTATCAGTACCCGAACGTTCCCATCTTTTAAGTACTGATGGAGTTGGGATTCACACAAGCACTTACATAACAGATATTAGGATTGCAAAAACAGTTTTGCTTTAAGATTTGGAAAATGATTCTAACCAAACCATTTGGAACAACTTCATTTATGAAATGTCACGCAACGGTTCAGACCCTGAGCTTCAAACTCCAGAGATTACATGTTATAATGGCCTTTAAAACATAAAATGGTGCTGAGCATGCATTTGAGATTCTTTGCCAAGGATACATTTTGAGGTCAATGCTGATTAGTTAATTTTCTAACCAAAAATGTTTCAAGTGCTATACACTATAGCATTACAGACACTGAATTAAAAAGCCCACAGAGTTGTATCTTATATGGAAAAATGTTTTAGGGTGATGATTTTGCTTTGTATTTTGACACCTATTGTACAACCACTAAAGGAAGGGAAAAGCAAATAACATGGAGAAAATACTTGTTCTGTCAACTGAATGATGGATTTATAAATTGTAGATGGAATTTATAAAATTGTTTTCTGTGTCTAGTTGTAATGTCCTATTAGTGTGCTGCATAGCAAGTTGATAGTATTTCTTTTGAACCTGTCAGTTTCCTTTTTCACCTCAAAGTACTTCATAAACCTAATTGACCATTTTTTTCTGTTTTAGAAGAGAGAATGCAATTGAATAAAAAGGGTCACTGTATAGCAATTTCTTTAGCAAAGAAGAGATACAGAGATGAATGAGTCAGATTAAATTTTTTATTCTTTAGAAAAAAATGAAGCTTCTTTAGAATTCTTAAAGTTTGACGGACAATATTCTCCATAGAATTTCTATTGCATTCACGCACCCTGATTGTTTCCATGAGGTGCATTGCAAAACTGAAGATGTAAATTTCAAAGATTGTTCTACACGCAGCATCTTGTTAGATGCACTTCAATTATTTCCTTCCTGTGGTGTAAATCCTGAGGTCATTACTCAAAGCCTCCCAGGTACTGAGGGCTTCCTGTGAGGTGCTGAGTAATCTCAACTCCTGTTGAAGTTCATGTGAGATGAGTTCACAGGAAATACTAAGTATTTTGTGGGATTGACCTCCCAGTTCTTAATCAATCCTTACTCAAGAAAATTGTTACAAAAAGCAGTACGAGTTTCACTGAATAAGGACCTCAGGATTTGGTTCTAGCTATATATTTGGATGCATAGCCCCTCCCAAGTTTTGTAAGTCCTCCCTTCAGTAGGGATATCAATGTTATCTTGATGTATGTTTGTTATAAACATGTACCTTTCATTTTAGTGCAAAATGTTGCTTTTAAATTGTTTACTTTCTTGGTGTGAATTTTTTTGTTAGTAGATTTTTTTTTGTATGTGGTCATGTGATTTTCTGATAGCCAAGTTAAGTGCACCTGTGAAATTTAAGGTGGCCTCAGGTTTCCAAAATTGTTAATTGATGCCACAAACTGTTACATACTTTTAAACACCTCTTTCAAAGATCCACACTCCTTTGCCTAGCTTTTTTTTTTTTAATTGTAGGCCCAAATTGTGTTAATTGCTAATGGACTTGAAGTGAGGATTGTTATTTTTTGCATACATAGGAAGACAGTAATCAGTGGGCAGAGGATGATGCGTAGTTTACCATTGCAACATAACTTCCATTTACAAGTTACGTTATATAGTAGGCTGGGCTAAAGAGTCTTGCCCTGTGGAGTAGAAAGTTTTTATTCAAAGGAATCCTGTTACAAATTGAACCAAATTCTTCTTCCTCAAAAGTCTATATTGAGTGAAACATCGTTTTATTTATTTTGTTTTGTATTCTCCAGTCTATCATTCAGTACCAGTCTTATAACAATTGTTTTGTATTAATTTTTACAGGTTCCACTAATGTTTTGGCTCATACTCTTCATGGAATCAACCATGCAGTAACTGCAACATTGCATATTATAATGGGTAATTCATAAATGCGTTATCAGAAGCTTTCAGATAATTAAAAGTCATATCACTTAAAATTTTGAATACATGTTCACAAAGGAAGGGAGTGCTTGCCTAACAAATCAATGATACTTTGTTGTGTCAGGGTGAATTTTGTATCATCAAATAGTTTGGTTTGAAAGGGACCTCTCCGATGAGACCTAATCCACTGTGTATCTTAACAGAGTTGCTTCTCTAAACTGTTCTTGATAAACTATTCTTGGGTATCTAGTATGACTATTAATAGCTGCATTGATGAGAGTTCACCACATTCCATGGCAGGTGGTGTCATTGATTAACTGTTTTATACTGCTTTTCTTTTAATTTAGTAAGTCAGGAAAAGCCAGAGTTGCACAGGCAACCTTTAACTCTGTCTCTTATATATGTGCGTTATGATACACAATTCACTGATCACATACTTTTTTTAAAATTCAGGAAGCCTGCCTAATAGTAGGGAAAATGGGTGGTTGATCTTTCGGTGTGGGTTCAAGGCATACCAACAATTTCTGTATGGAAGTAGTTGTTTACTACACAACATGGCATCATTCACCATCCAACCTGCACAATAAATGGGACAGAATTTCTAAGTATATGAAAAATAATGTGATAATGCTATTCAATATTATGTGTATTAAAAAGGGACAGAGTTAAGGTTGCCAGTGTAACCTTAACTTTGACTTTTCCTGAATTTTGAATACTTCACTTTGCATCATTAATATTCCTTTTAAGGCAGATTTTTGTATGGAACTGTATTGCTTTCTTGTAAAGAAAAATGGGAAAAAAAGGAAAAAAAAAAAAAAGCAGTTCCATTAAGTGTAACTGCTTGCTAGACCTCAGCTGAATGCTTTATTAGTTAATATGTCAATCAATGATGCAAGAGCCCTTGCTCCATTTCAAAGATTAATATTGAACATGCCCCAGTACATTAGATTGGGAAGTTCACTTCACTTTCTTTTTCACACATGCACAAATCCAATGGAAACCTGAGAGAGAGAGTTTATTAATGATGATTTCCATTCAGTTTTTATAAGTTCCCATGTCTCGAACATAGGCAGCTAGTTTTATTAGATAGAAAAAGGAAGCATGTATATTTGAAGTCCTTATAACTTGGCCAATGAAAACCAGTTTTCACGTGACCATCAAATCGTGCATCTGTTATGTAAGGGACTTTGTCAATTCAAAATTTCTACTGTAGTGCTAATGGAACTTTTTAGTAAAAAACATTTTTAATATCAGATGTGCATTTCCTTGAATATAGCTGTTTGCATAAATCATACTCAGACTGACAAGTGCCAACTTATACACAAAAACATAAAACGTTTCATATTTATAAGCATCTGAATGTAAGCCATTAGAATGAATGCACTTGTACAATCTTAACTATGTTTCACTTCATGCTCCTTTTATAATGCTTTAACTTATTAATCTAGAAATTAATTAATAGTCTGCTTGGAATTCTCTTTCATCTGCTAACTCACATGTCCCTGCTTTCCTCTCCTTTTAAGCTACTGTTCTCTCTTTATTCCTTAGAAATGTAGATAAGTTTAGGTTGAAAACTAATGGAATATTTGCAGCTTTGATCTCTTCTGTAATATTTCAGGACATATACAGCCAGTGGACATCTGCACTTTCAGTAGTCCAAGCAAGCTTCTTCGTTTTGGATTCTCAGCTATGTTTGGTTTTGGTGCAAGAACTCTGGCTTTGGCAGAAAAGCATCGCTGGATGCCCTCCAACCAGCGGAGAGATTTTGCTGTAATTAAAACACTGGCAAGTCTAAAGTATGCTGGTTTATTTTCAATATTTTTATTTTCCTCATGAAAATGTAATATTATTACCCTCAATTTTACCAGATGTTAAATATATATTAACACATTTCTTAATGTTTATAAAAATGAGACTGCAGGCAGACACTTTTCAGGTTTTATCATGTACTTCCTTGCAATGTCACCATTTAATTAGGAGAAGCTTCTGTATATTAATCATCATCATCTTAAAATTATTTTAACTTTGATAAAAGCAGATTTAGCAGTCAGAACATTGGTTAATGTGGAAATGAATGTCAATATTTTTCTAGGCCAGAGGAATGTGAGTTATCATTTCTACCTCTGAAAAATTCACTGCAGGGCTCCCAGGAGAAAGTTACGTAAGTAAATCTGAATTAAACAAACCTGTATCTATACAAGTATATAGCTTTGAAGATAAAATTAGAAAAAAATGAAATATTGTTTTGATGCAATAATATTACAAGGCAAAATGGAACTTTATTTCTTTTAAGATTATGATTTAGCCACAATTACATTTTTCATTACATAAAGTATACATTAACCTTGTTATATGGTTTTACTTTTGATATTAGCAGTACAGAGGACCTGTCAGACAAGCACTACTCCATTTTGTTCACTGCTGAGTGATCCTTTCTTCCAGTGTCAGAGATCTAATTTATTCTTAGATAAACTGTAACATTAAAATTGTACAGTTATTTTTAAAATTGTATTTCTTTACGTTCTTTGTTATTTGTAATTGTTTTATGTGACACATTTTTATTTTTAGAAAGAAGAAAGAGAGATTTAAAAAATCTGGTGAGTTTCAAATTAAATTGTCCTTAAAAGTGAACTGTGTTTGGTTAAACTAATGTAATACTGAATTACTCTGTTATATTTAGACAGCAAGGTTCAGTGGCACACGATTCAAGGTCACTTCCTGAATGTGAGCATTATGGCAATCCCCTGTCTATGTTCAATGGCACCAAGAGGCTTGGCACCTAATACCAGGTCAGTAAGGGTTTAAAGAATTAGAGTAATGTCTATAAATTCTGACATCTTACTCTAAAACCTTGGCTTTTCCTGGAATGCCTGCCTGTGTCTCGGGCAGTCTAGACCCTCTTGTAGTGGGGGAGGGAGGATGGACTGCACTTGACTCCATAATCTCAAGAATTATAATCAGTTTTTGGATCAAGTCATCTAACTAGAATAATCATTGGATAATTACAGTGATTAAATTAGTTGACAAGACTGACTTAAGTAGAAGTCATCAAGTAATCATCTGTCTCAGGTTTCTTGATAGGAGGAGAACTGGGTCGTGGATTTCTCGTAAAAATTCCTCTTGAACTGGAATTCTCCAGTTGGGAAAGTCCTGTTGATTTTTTTCTCTTACCATAAAGAATTTTAAATGCTCATTTTATCATTTTGACAAATTCAGGAAACACAATTTTTACTAATTCCTCTAAATTAAACAGGCATATCTCATTGTTTCAGGGGAACTGTGTAGTGCTGGCGATTGGTTATGAAAATTGGAGTTTTTCACCTTTAGCTAACTAATCTGAATATAATCCCAGATTGAAATGTTGAAAATATTTATCATCTGATAGCTAGCAAAGTATGAAAAGTGGTAACTGTGAATAGTGAGTTCATAATCAACTATGCCCCAGCCAATAGCCCATTTTAGTGTCAGAAGAACTGAACAAATAGCCATTGCATTCTTCAGTCATGCAATCCGTGTGCCTTTACCTTGTGCATGTTGTTTTTTTTCTGCAGCTTCCCAACTTTATGGGATGTTTTGTTTGAACATATCACACCAGATCTCATGCAACTTTTATTGGCTTTTGGCAAAAGGCTACTCACCACTAGGTATACTAACTTGCTTTGTTCACGTCAGCCCCTCTTGCCTGCCTTGTAAGCAGTTTAAACAGATATTCTTCAGAAAGGCAAATTCACCAATCCATATGTACTCTGGGGATCTGGCTCCTCAGTGGGGGAGAGTTTTGCTGAAAAGTTTTCATACCAAAACCATCTTCCTTAGAGAGGGAAATGTGAGGTGTCATAGCCTGGATTATTATTATTAGTAGTAGTATTTATTTATTTGTTAAGAGAAAAAGTATGTACTTGAAGATAGTATGTTGATGTTCTATACTGTTTAGAAATCTATTCTGTCAACATGTTCACTCTCAGTGCAGTTTTCCAGGCAATGGAAAAGGTTATGTGAAGATTTTAGGAAGAAGGTCTTTCAGCTTTCCTCTCTCGTCCTCTCTAATCCCAGCATCAATTCCAGATGTCAGCACTGTACTTCTAACAATATGGCCAAGGAGAAGCACTCAGCTAGATAGAGAGAGGGGTGCTTTCTCTGCAGGTGACTCTTGCAGGACAGTGAACAGCAGCAACGCTGCACAAGGTGGAAGATAAAATGCTGCACCAATTGCAGCAGGTACGTGAGCCATTTCTGAAGCACTTGGCCACTACTGCAACCTCACCTACTGTCTTCACTCCAACTGTCATGTTTCCCCCCGAGAGCCAGCCCACCTGCCCATTTGCATCTTATAAGACATTTTGATCAGACTGAATACATTGGGTCTGACTGACCACTGTTCATGTTAATCCAGTTTTACAGCTATTAGTCTAAAGCCCCAAAAGTGACTTATGATTTTGGATCCCTTTGGGTGCCTTGCTTGAGATGCCCTAAAGGGGTTGGTTTTCAGAGTGTAGGTGCTTGGCACTTTCTAAAAATCATCCCCCTTGAAAGTATCTCAGTGGCACTCAAAAATGAAAGCATTCAAAATCACTAGTCACTTCTGAAAATGTGAGCCATAATGACTAAATAAGATATTCTTGCACAAAATTATATGCCTGCCTGGCAGAATATGTAGGTTTCTTGATCATAAAAAAGTGATCTAGAGAGAACATTTTCAGACACCTCCTTTACCTTGTATCCTACCTCAGAAAACCTCTGCAACATCAGATGACTCCACAACCAAAAAAGATTGTCCCAAACTAAGAGTTGCCTCTGTAGAGGGTACTCTGCAGAATGTTGAGGTCTACAGGGATGTAGCAACTCAGAATTCAGTGTGTGCAAAGGCAAAGTCCCCAGCAGGGGATAAAGCTCATTCAGAAAGATCTGTGGTGGCATTTTAGGAAGACAGTATCTTAAATTGTATCTTTCAGATTGAACATTGGCATCCACTTCTTAGCAGACACTATACAATTAAATTATCATCCTCATCAGATGCTGCCTCTGTCCATCATGTCCTCAAGCTGATGGGATCTCAAGTCTTTGCTGTTCTCCTCCAACTTTTTCCTTCCTTTCTTTTATCTCTTGATTGCTAACTCCAGAAGTACTGTCAGAATGTTGGTGTCTTGTGTATAAGATTAGAATAGTCTCATTAACATCTATAAATTGCTCTAACAGATGAATTTATCATTCAGGGTTCCTTACTTTCATATTACAGATTGTTGGCATAGTTTCTCTGTTAAATAGTTTTTATTAATTGTTCCTGTTGGTGTTTCATTTTGTGGGCTGCTGTACATCACAGACCCCTTTACTGAAGGATGTCTTTGGCACCAAAACTCGTGTACCATAAAATCCCTGCCCCAAGTACTTTACAATCTAATGCAAGTATTAAGGGCCAAATCCCCAGATGGTGTAAATCAAGATAATTGTATTAATAGAACTACATCAATTTATGTATGATGTTTTGTGAAAGGACTGTCTTTATATGGGAAAGGCGGTTTCTGTTTAGGTGACCATGGATTTTAAAAAATCATCTTTTAAATAAGCTAATATGTACAAATATTAATTTTATTGCAGTATTCCACAACTAGATTTACTTTTAATTGTTTTTTATATTAAGTTCATCAACCTTTTATGTGAAATGACTTTAGATTAATGTTAATTTCATAATTTAAGTATAATGGATTCCTATCTACATAGTTTATTTGTTTTTTCTGAAGTTGATTGTAATCAACAAATTAACTGAAAAATTACAAAGCTTTTTAATGTTCACTGTATTGCTGTTATTCCTTAGTTTAGGATTCTATTTACCATTTATTTTATTTAATCTATACATTTCTCTTTTGCTACAGTTAACTAAAGTGATTTATATTATATTTAAACATTCGTATATACAAAGCAGTAGTACAATTAAACTTGATCTGTAATTCTCTCATGATAGTTTATTAGACCAGATCTTTAATTTCATGTGAAATAAGCATCAGAATAAGCAGCTCTCAGGAGTAAGCTGATTCTTGCGTATAATTGTTGGGAAAGTATTTGATTCATAACCAAATAAAAATCACTGAAGTATATTGAAAAGTTCTGAATAATTTTAGTAAAGTTAATCTTGTTTTATATTGATTTTTAAACCAACTTAAAATGATTGTGAATTTAGTTTAAGACCTTTGAATGTAACATTAGTTTAATCAAAACATGTACTTTTCAGGTTGAATAATGGTAGCATGGCTCTTATTGTTGTACGAAACACTTCTCGGTCAGAGTTTATAAAACATCTGAAAAGATATGCCAGTGTGAAAAATCAGGTACAGTTAATCAGTGTTTGTGTGTGTGTGTGTGTGTGTGCGCGCGCGAGAGAGATTATAAAAGAGCTACTAATCATGACAGTAGACCTGCTACAGGAGTTAATATTAGTGTCCTCATAAGGAGACTTAGTTTCCCTGTCAGAATGCATTAGCCCCCTTTTATCTGATTTTTGAAAATCACTAATCAGACTACTACCGATTAGCCTATTTCAGCCCATCTGTTATGGTTTAGTTTATATGTGGTTTACACGAGCAGTTGCACAAGAGTGTAAAGCTCCTGAACTAAAATAAGGACAGAGAAATTTTGCGTTTAAATTTAGTGTACTGAGATTAAGGGCACATAATGGGGACCAGATGCTACTCTTCAGAAGAAACAAATACTTAAGTCCACAATTTTGGCAAATCACTGCATGCTATAATGGCAGCAGTAGTTATGCCCTTTGATTTTCATAGACCCCAGTTCCTGGATCTGGATATGAATGGACTGTAGGAGAGGTTTGCAGATCTGTCCTTTAAAAACACATGGTCAATATTCCACCTTTTATTTAGCTGCATCACGGAAATTAGAGTTTAGTGGTGTTTTTGTTTCTTGTATCAGAGTGCCTCACTGTTGCTTCAAAATACTCAGTGCAAACCCAAGTAAATGTATTACGTGAAAGTATACTGGTCATCTTCCAAACGAGTCATGTCATTATGTAAAATTAGTGATCAGCAAGTTTAGGTTTAGTTCAAGTAATCATTCAGAATTTAGGTCCTTTTGAAGGTGTCATTCCTTTGTGCTGGATGTCATTCCTGGGAGATGCCTAGCTCCATATTGTGGTAGCAGCAATATGCCTCAGAAAAGGCTTTAAGCCTTTCTCATTCTGTCACTGTAGCACTCTTATAGGAAGAAGTGTTTGCACTTTTCTCTCATTCTGTCAGCTAGCACGTGTGAAAGGGAACATGGACCCACTTTATAATCTGCATGAACCTTTACTATGCCAATAACTCACCGCATTTGGGTCAGGGTTACTGGTTATGATGGACAAGCCAGAAAAAACACAGCATAACTTTCAAATCCTTGAGTAAGTCTACAGAGTTGAAAAATACACCACTTTGCTTGTAAACTGAGCAAATGTATCTGGAAATAATTGCGTGACAATAAAAATGGAATCCTGTGATACCATTTCTATTGAGTCACTATTCAAAGTAAAATAGCACGTTAAATTATGAACACTGGCTTGAATATAAACAATAAATTTAATGGGATCAAAGCCAGAGTCAAAATTTTAGTTTGTTCTGTCCAGGAAACAAGTTTCCCATAAAATGTACATGACTGAAAAAATTGCATGACAAATGGGTAGTTAATGTCTCCTGCTTTAGCTACATGAATATTTACTCATGTGTTTTCTGTATCCATAGTGCACCAACATGAACACCATTAAACTGGAACCTTTTTTGGCAATGCTCTAATGCAAAACTTAGCGCTCATATAATGCTTTTCATCTGTGACTCGGATACTGTACTTTCTTTCCCGTGTGTGTGTGTGTGTGTAAAAATATAGTTGAGAAAGTGGAAATGTTAAAGAAAGCAAGTTTATATGTGAATTTTAGTAAGACAGTAATCCATTGAAGCTTAAAACTCTGAAAAATGCTTGTCTTTATCTGAGGTATTTTTTGATCAGAGTGTATTGGCTTTATGCTACTCAGTTAGGCTACAATTAATTGTTCTTCCCCAAAAGTCTCCCACTGAAATCAGCACTCTTCAGCAAATTCTGGCTTCTCTATGGGAGATATCTCAGTCTTCCTTATCCTTCTTTCCTGTTTTTTGTAATTTCTTAGAGGATAGTTTCTCAAGAAAAATCCACTTCTAGGCAACTCCAGATGCTTCTCTGCCTCAGACATTACAATTCTGTACCAAAATAAAAAAAAATTGCTCAGATGATTGTCTCTTGATCTAAACTACCATGAAATGTTCAGAAGCTGTAAGTCTGCTGGTTTAGGATTAACTAAATTTAACTTTTTTTTTTACATATTTTTCATATAAATCTAAAACCATGGGAATAATAGAAATTGAGTGCCAACAATATGATAGGTACTTCATAACACAGAGGAAGCCATAGTACTTCCCCTAAGGATCTTTATGTTTAAATAGTCTAAATATTAAGCTGGGAAATAAAACTGTGCTCTATGTACTCCAAGTAATTAGCTGTTTTGAAGTTCTTGTACCTGGGAAGATTTATTGTAGGAAATATTCTCTGCACTTTTTCTTCCATAAGTTACACACTTCAATCAGTTTAAGTCTGAGGTTCTAGTGCATTTAAGGAGAAAAAGTAAGATTTTAATTTCACAATTTTAAACAGTAAAGAACCTATTTTTAGTTACCTCTTTGACTTTAATACACATTTGTGTTTGTTTTAGTTTAATTTTCCCTTTGTTGAGACCTATGCAGTTCAGGAAGTAAAAATCCAACCAAGAACTAAAATTGGGCATGACACAGAAGAAAATGTGTATTTGCATGCTACTTCTGCAGAAGTGAATTATCCTTGGAATATAGATGGAGATTTAATGGAAGGAGCATCAGAGGTTCACGTTCGGTAAGGCTAAGCATAGTAACATAGGATTTGCTGAACTAGACTATTGGCCCATCACATGTGATATCCAGCCTGCAGGCGTAGTCAGGCAAAACACCTGCTAGACTTGGCCAATTGTACTGTTATCTCTTTCTTGTGTACAAGAGATAACATTCCCCCAAAAAGTTGACTTTAGGAAAATTTGTTGCTAAAAATGTCAGACAGGTCTGCATTATGCCATTTAAAATAGTTCTGAAAAAGAATGTAATAGTATAATACATCAGTATATCAGTGCATATCTTAGAAGATGTGCTTCTGCAATTACATTTTTCAATTACAAAGGATTGCGCCAATTATTAGAGGGAAGAATCAAGCACAGCATGGCCGTTGCGTGTCTATCTTTGCATGTTAAAATTGTATATTCAATTAATACTGTGGCAATACAACTGCCCTGCGTTGTTGAGGACAGAAGGGTCCTCCGCATAAGTGTTGACAGCTTCGTCTATTGTCCAAGAAAAAAATAGTTACCAGATAGAATAGAATTTCTATCAATCTCGAGGCTGAAAATAATAGAATTTTTTATAGGATTGTTTTATTGAACTCATAACATTTTATAAAAGTTTGTATTTTACAAAATCTAAAAAATTGGGCCCAGTGTGAATTGGGTGTTTAACCGATTATCACAGATTTGCCACATTATTCCCATATAAGTGCTGTATAGGGAATGCTGCAAATGTTCATATTTCACAGTTGCTCACTATGTAATCCCCATGTCACAAAATGGGGTGCTGACATTGTTCAAAGTGAGCAATGTTTATCCTGGAGAGGAGAAGGTTGTCATTACACTAGGTTCATAATGCAGTGGGCATTATTTCAGGTTGAAAAGGCCTTTTTTGAAGAAACAGGTTCAAGATGAACTCCCTACCAGCCAGGCCCTGAATTCTGCGATCAGGCTTAAGTCTGCTGCTTGGAAGTGCCCACCCTGCCTTTTGTGTATTTGCAGACTTAACCAAATATGTAGTGCCATACAACATAACTTGTTCGATAGTGGCCAGTTAGTGCTACTTGAGTATGGTTAAGGAATGGAAATAGGAGTTGGCTTATTCTCCAATAATAGCACTGTGGCCAACCAAAAACATGGAACTGATGGTGGGATGCTCACTGTAACACAGGGTGTGGATGTGGGGGGAATGAAAGAGGGATCATGATAGCCTTTTCTGACCCAAACCCCGAACCTCCAAAATAAAAAAGATTCTCTCTCAGAAGTTTTTAGTAATCCAAAGAAAAGACTGGAGTAAGCATACATGTAATTCAGCTTAATTTTATTCCCTACAATTTATTATATAAATTTTTCCTCAAAGAAAATGTCACATGAAAACTACAACAGTTAAGTTACTTTATTTTTATTTCTTCACTTTCTAGGGTGCACCCGCAACTTATTAATCTTTATGGAGTGAGCATTGATGAACTGGATGATTCCAAAGCAATGTGCAGTTGTCTGTAGAAGAAATTTATGAAGAAATGTGTTTCATGGTGCAGGCTCTGCATAAAAGACTCATATTTTCATCTTAAAACAGCTATTTAAGGCCCATTCCTTCATCCACTGAAGTCAATGGATGAAGGACCGAGACTGAAATTAGGATGTTGATATTTTTTTTTAATATTGTTAGTTTTATATAAAGTAAAATAATTGTAATTATCAAACAAAATGTTCATAGTTTTAACCTTAAAAACCCTGAAAATTAATATATTGACAAATATACTTATTTGTAGGTATTATATATTTGGTTAAAAAGTGATTACTTTTTTTTGCTGAAATTCTAGTAAAGTTTTTTTAAACAGAATATTGCAGGGTTTGAGTTCAATTTGGGGTTTGATTTGGTTACCCTTCGTTGTATCTAGTCATATTTTACTTCACTGGTAACCCAAATTCATATCACTAGAACTAGTCCTGGAGTAAAGTACTACTTACTGTGACTTGGGGTGGCATAATTTGGCTTCTGTCAGGTCCTTCAATATCCAGATAATCTCTGACCTTAAATGAGATGATGTAAAAATTTGCTTGCTTTCAGCATTGCCTAGCTAGGTCTTAAGCTACTTTTCCTTTTACAAATAGTATTCACTTAGAATGTAACATTTGTTCAAACTTACTTTGTTTTAAACTTTAATCTTACAGAAAATATTTAAAGTTTACTTTATCAGTAAAACTGGGTAGTAATCAGCATAATGCATTAATTTTTGCTAGAATAAGGCCCAATGCTGAGTAAAATTTCTAATTTTAGATTTTGAGTGATACTTTCATAGTGCACATTTAGTAGAAAGTAGGTATGTAAACAGATTAATTGTATAAATTACATGGTAAATGCAATAATTATGCATGATACTGGTACAGATTAGGATTCCAGCCTTCATGGGAATTGAAATTGTCATGGCACCATGGCTATCTCCTGCATTGTGATTGGTGGAAACTAACATGACAGATTTGTCAGCCTCCTTGACCTGCAGGAGGAGGAGCTTAGATGTGTGTGTGCCCTTATTCATTAGATTAAAGATATGAGGCATCCCAACTAGGGCTGAGGGAGGAACTCTGCATTTCCCTGTGACTAAACCACAGAGGTTATTGCCCATTGGTCTTTAAGGCTTTAAGTCATGCGGATTTCACTACGTGCCTAAATCTTTGCTGAACTAGGGCCCAAGTATTTAAATGGGATTAGTGAGGACTATAGGAACACACCAGAAGTTTGGTTCATAATTATTAATTATAATTATTAATAATAATAATCTTTATACCTCAACCTTAAATCAAAAAATTTAGTGTGGATATTTTCTTTCTTCCTCCACTCCCTTCACAAGTAGCACCAGCAAACGGTTATTCATCTTCAAAAAAAAACAAAAGAGCAGATTACATAGAACCAAATTCTGTCTTCATACTCACATTAACATCAGTGGAACTGCAGGCAAGGCACCTGTAGGCAGAATTTGGCCTGTAGTAACCGGCCAAATAATCTGCAGTATAGTGGATTACAAAGTAAATTTAGTGGACCAAATTCTGCTCTCCATTACAATGGTGTAAAACAAAAGTCACTAGTTACTTGAATGGCGCTACTCCAGATTTGTGCCACTATAACAAAGTAATTTGATGCTATATAATTAATCCAGAAGCATTAAAGTACTGTGCTTGAGTATTGAAAACTGAATTTCTTCTTTGATTCTTTAAAGATATTCCATCTTCATAAACCATTATAGATTTAACTGTATTTTATTACCTCTGCAAATTCTATCAACAAAATAATTAGATTTGCAAAAGATAGTGTGCACAGTTGTTTTTATTATAAAATTCAGTTGAACAATCATTTATTAATAAACATGCTGCCATCAGGAAATCTTACATTCACATTTTTCATTTACTTATTTAGATTAAACCTCAATGTTTGTTTATTAAATTAATTGAATTTTGCCGAATATCTCAGAGAAATACCTGATCAATGTTTACATACTAATAGCACTGTGCAATTTCCAAGTAACACTTGTGTATTTAGTTACTCACTAAAGCTATTCCAAAAAAATCCTTTTTAATCTAATTTCCTTGCATTGTTTGTATTAAAGCAATTTTAATGCTGCTTTCAGTATTTGAGGTACAGTTCTCACAACACCCTATATTAGAATACCTGTTCAAATACTTTTTGATTAAAGTGCAATAATTCATTTGGCTCTATACTCTTTAAAAGTCCTTTTTAGAATATACATTTTGCAAATAGTTTAGTTTTTAAGGATGAAATATTTCACTCATAGCACATTGTTCTAAAAATAAGATCTTCTTTCTGTATGTACACATTTGTCTGTTCTTAATATAATGCAGAATATTTTAGAACAGAAAGCCAATGCCTTGAGATGAGATCAGTTTTTCAGAAGTCTGGAAGCACCCATGACACCAACTGAAGTAAATGAAAACTACAGGTGCTTGGCCCTCTGTGGAACATCAGGCTCTGTTACCTTTTGATTCTTTAGCTTAGGTCAAAAAGCCACTTTGGAAAAATGTATATAACTCTATTAGCAAAATCATTTGTTGCAGGCAATGGTTGTTGCTATTAACTCTGGAGCTTTATTACCAAGTGATGTTGCATAATCAGTTTGTGTGATGTCCACATTTATTACATTAAAAAAAAGATGCCGGAACTAAGTTTTCTACTAGCAGTCCAGAACGACAGCAGAGAAAGGACAAAGATGAGCCATAGGAAATAGTATGTGTTGGCATTACTAGGGGAGAGTAAGTTTAAGATGAATTTAGCACTTGGATGAGATGGTGCATAGCCCAGAGAACGAAATCCTTTCCCCCCCAAAACAGGTATCAGTGTACTTAAAGTAGGTGGCATTGCTAGTATCTTTCTAAGAATCTGAAAGGATCTCCTGTAGGAGCAATTCAGTCCTCATAAAAATTCAGTTTTTTCCTTTTTACTGCCACTCTTGAGTGCCAATTGCAATGGTGGCATTAAGCTGAAGACATATCCACTAAGAACTGAACTTAGATATCCAAACTATTTCATTATACAGGTTTCAGAGGATAGCAACTTTTGGGCTGGGGTTGCACATCTGAGGATGGAATTAACCCTATGGAGTTAAGGTTTTTTAAATTTTCCATCAGAGCCTCTTTTGTCTGCTACTGGAAGTGTCCTTAAATACTATAATGCTGAGCATTATTGAAACACTTGCAAATAATAATTGTTCAGGATAACACATGAATGTCTTTCGCTCCAAAACCTCATGCTCTTGGTGTTTGAGGAGAAAGAGGGAGAAACAGAATTAACTGTATGCTCCTGGCCTTATCAGCTAATACTATGTTAAGGATGGTTGATACGGATAGCCTCAAATGTTTGACTCTTCTCAAGGTAACCCTCAATGTCATGCATCCTTGACAGAACATTGAGTTTTCGGTGCTGATCAGCACAAAAAATCTTTCCATGCACATCAATTAATGGTAAGATTTTATGCTGCCCCTTTTAGAGGCTCAGCACAGAACTCCCAGCCCAGGGAAGGGAAAGCCAATGTGGTTTTAAAGCCACCTTTGCATCCTCCCAGTCCTGGACTCTCCTGAAACTGGAGAAGCCCCTGGCATAATTTAGACAGCCCTGGAGGTCTGTCTAAATTACAGCAGCCTCCCAGGGTGTCCTATGGACTACAAGACTACCCAAGACCTCTATAGTGCTGTAATTATGTGCCCTAGTCCAGAGCCTGCAGGAGTGTTCAGAAGGCCTTGTGGCTGTCTTCTACAATGCATGCACTGGAGGCTTCCTCCCTTGGCCACTTCAGGCCTTTTACCCAGTGTAAAGGTGCCATAGTGGGATGAGGATCTCATCTAAGTCTCTAGTTAAAAATGAAATGAAAGTTGAAAGCTAATTGAGTTATGAGTCACCCCATAGCCAACCACTGAGATCTCATTACCCAAAAAATGGTTGATAATACTGTACTCTTCTTCGGGTAAATAATTCTTCATTTTATCTGCTTAGTGTTCTTGTATGCAGTTGAAGAGATGAATATTTCTGGTATTTCAGATATTACTATTAAGTTTCTTTATTTGAAGATCCGATTGTCATTTGTATTTTAGTAAGATGATGCTACATTTAGGTGTAATCCTCCACAGATCAGCAAAATCAAATGTATATTCTAACACCAAGAGTAAACAACAGACTCAGCATCCGTTTTCTCTCATCACTGTTCAGCATGTAAGTCACACTGAGCCTGAAATTCATCATTTGAAAGAAGTCTTTAATTGTCATCTTAGCCCTCCTTATTGCTGTTTACGAAGTTCCAACTTCCTCTTTGGGCTGCTCTTGAGGGAGAGGTTGATAACGTCTTTTAAAGAAGCCACTCTGAAAAACAATTTCAAAATCAATTGGTGTGTGTCAGCAAACTCTTACTAAGTCAGATTTAATGAAATAATCTTTTATACTGTTTAAAGTAAGTGTAAGATGACATGCTGGCATATGCGATTAAGTATCAGCTAGTTACTCTGTTTTGGGAGTAACAGTGATGTTACTATTAAAATGACTGTCATATTGATAATATGAACTAATTTTTTAAAATGTAGGCTTTTTCCCCCCAATTGCTACATAATATATCAAAAGACAGCATTACTAAAAATTACTTTACATCTATGGGGCTAATTCTTTCCCTTCATTCACAATATGAGCAAATGAGCTGTGAACTGTGAAAGTCCAGAGATCAAAATCTTCCCACCCAGGATATGGAATGATAATGGAATCCCAGCATTTGTTACACTTCTGTACTCTTCCATGGAAAGAATGAGTAGTGGAGTCACATTCAGAGATGTACAATCCTCAACTTCCCTTACTATGGCACAAAAGGAATGCGTGTGGCAAGCAAGGGGTACACAGAGTGAACAATCCCTTACCCCATCAGATCTTTTCTGGACCTTGTATGCCTACTAACAGTGGGAAGCAAGATTTGCCCCCTAGTGTTCATATATAAGAACTTAGAATTTAAAATATTTAATGCTGGCAAGCAACAAGACCATCTTCACCTTTTCTGTTAGGAATATTGTAGACCATTCTGTTATGTGTCCATCAGAATAGCAAAAACATGAAGCAACAGCCTACAAAAATTTTTGTTTGACTTCTGGAATAAAATTATGCAAATCTGGCCCATAAATATGGGGAAAAAACTTGAGGTATAGGAGTTAAAGATCTCAAAGAGGTAAGTTAATGCAATAAGTACTTTCCCTGAGATAGGGAAAACATGGGGTAAAAAGGACAAATGAAGAAAAAACTGAGTTAATCATACCAGGATTTGTTATTCTTTAGTAAGAATAGATCACAATAAAGCACATTATTCCTGTTTTTAAAGGAGTCAGTGAAAATAATAGAGAAATATTGATAAAGAAAAAAGAATCCTACCTTCCATAATAACAGCACTATAAGCAAAAACAATAAAATGCCAAGTACTGAACCTATCCCAATAATCAGCATGGTAACATGAGGTTTTGGCTTTTGGTTATGTAGTCCTTCCAGAAAGACCTATATGAAGTAGGGGAACATTAAAGTAAGAATACTAGTATGCTTAGAATAGACAATTTATGAAATTAAAATATAACAACAATGTAGGAATTATTGCATTCATTAAATATCTACATATGGTATATATTCCCATAAATGGTGTCTTGTCTCTGCTTCAGATGATGACAAATAGATCTATTTGCCTAACTAACTGCAATTTAATTCCAATTATGTACATATCTATTTATGCATAATTCTATAAGTTCAGGTGGTACAATTTTTCTTGAATATATTTTTTTTAGGGGGGAGGGCTAATCAATTTGTTACGTAAAGAATTCTTACATGTGCAATTTGCCTTTCCTTGTGTAGTTCAATGACTTTTGGATTTTTTTCTGGTGATACTGTAGCACTTATTTCAAACTTAAGTGATGATGCCTCATCCTGTTTAAAAAAAAAAAGGCCAAGTTGCATAAATACAGTAACACTTTATGGTATTATCATCTTATCTCATGACCTCAAACAGTGAATTAAACCTTGATGTGTAGGTGCCCTAATCTACAAAACAACTCAGTGACAGAGCCAGGAACAGAACTGTACTCCAGTAACTCAAAAGGTCTGTATGTACAAATTTAGACAAGTTAACTTGGAACGATGCACTACTGCTAATCAAAGCTAAATATTTTAAAGGACTGAGCTACTGCCACAGCTGTAGATACATTTTCTGGGGGGCAAACAGGACAAACAGTTCAGTTTTCTATTTTAAGGCTTTCTTCACATTTCCTTTTGTTCAAGAGCTGCCCCCCTTCCTGGAACTTGCATCTAACACCCACCAAATTAATGAAACCACTGTTGATGCCATTATTAGAATGTTCCCTGCAACACCTCCCCTCAAGGCTGTATTCCTAGTGGTGATCACTTCAACCAAGAGAGTTTCTGAGATCCAGGTATTAATGACTGACCTGCTGTATAAGGTATTCCTTAATGATAAAGAGGATTTTTGTCCACACCCTAAGTTACTTTTTATCAAAGGCAGTATCTGATTTATAATTATGCAAATATGGCAATTTAGCTGTATTTTCTACAAGTCCCATTCATTATCAGGAATTATCTTGGTATTAAAATGGCTCTTAGTTATTATCTAAACAGCACTAAACCATTCTGTAAATCACCTAAAGTGTTTATAGCACATAGACAAATTCAGATAGTAATTGTGTTTAGAATAATGAGACAACAATCATTCACCCTTTAACCAATTTACATTTGTATGACCAGGAAGTGTCATGCTTGAAGAGACCAATGGTCCATTCACTCTGGTATCTTTCCTCTGCTTTAGTTTATGACAAAAAAAAAACTATGATGTGCCTAACTGCAGGTATATTCCAATAGCTGTCTGGTTTATCATATCCTGTTAGTGACTGTTGTAATCAAATTATCAATAGTGCAGGAATATTAAACCAAATCTATCACCATTTTATAGTATTATAAGCTTGAAGTGAAAAGTATATCATGGAGCTTGCTTTTTGGTTATAATATGCCAATTTAGCCACAGCATCTGTCACTTTGAGAGGTTTGCACAATGTGTTAGACTAGAGTACAGCAACCCTCTTACGTTTAAATACCTCTCTATAGTGTTCTGAGGTATTTGAACTAAAACATGTATACTGATTATTATTAACTTGGATTTAACAATATTTGATTTATATATTAAATGAATATTGTGCAATTTATTTCTGTCAACTAGAAATATAGCACAGTGTTCACAAGAGGGTGCTGCAAATCCATGTGATGTCATTAAAAAGCAAATAACCTTTTAAAATTATCTGGTTAAAGATTTAAATGAAATTTACCATTTCTAAAACTGAAGGAGTAGCTTCCAGTTGCATTCGGACAATTGCTTCTTTTCCACTTTCCATGTTTCCAAATTTACACAGTATTCGTAAACATGAATGATCTTCTTTCATGCAGTACTTTGAAGGAAAAAAAGCAAAAATACAATAAATATCAATAACTGTTCCAGAAACTGGGCTACAGAAGAGCTACACACATGGTATCACAATCACCACAAAGACTGTCAGGTTTTCAAAACACCATGTGGCCACAACTGGGGGGAAGTGAGGAATTTTCTAGCGAGATAATTTCCTATATAAGAATCTAAATGAGAGTTGAGCAATTCTGAAAACATGTCTATAAGTAAATTGTTGCTACTGCAGATTTTGTTTTACATTGATCCAGTTATTAAGAATCATAAGGGCACTTTCGAACTTGTACATCATTCATACTGTAGATTTTTGATTTTGCTTTAAGTATTTGCAAAGAGTTAGTATTCAAAAATGAACTAGTAGCACTAGCGTCATTCAGGACTAGTACAAACAGGCCCTATACAAACTTCCTAACACAAGACGGCCACTACCTCTCAGTTCTGACCTGCAATAAGTCTGATATTCCAGCCTTTTCTTGAGCAATATGAGGTGATTCTGTAATTTGTATGAGTGGGATCTAAACTGAAAATATTTAATCCTTTTTTGCTTATGACCAAAAATATTTGTATAATAAAGGTACAGTCTTTTAAAAAGTATAATTTCCCACTGACTTCTAAAATCAATCCTGAAAAGTATTTGTAACACATAATATGAAGTAACTACTTAACCCTTGAAATAAACTACATGAAAAGTGGGACTGAACAAACCAAAACCAACCAAACAAAAAAAGACCCTTACCACTCGCCTCTTGGTAGGTTTTGAAAAGAAAATGACGAGATCTTTTAATATGTTCATATGTCCATTTTTTTCTGGTAAAGTACAGTCTCTTGTATAATTATTATGAAAACATTCTCCATCAGCTGTCTGGAAATAACAACAGCACAATCATTCCTGGGTTCCAAACATTTCCCGATACTGCTTTGAAGACATTTCTGTACATGCAGAAACTCAAAGAAAATTTCTGTATTTGAAAATGATTTCTCTAGAGTATGAGAGAAATGCACCTTTGGCATAGTGGGTGCAATTCTAGCCCAGTTTGCTTAACCAGAACTACCCACTTACCTCTTACATGCCCTAAGAATTGTACTGAAAGCTTCTGGAATGAGCCATACTCAGCCAGAGAGAGGTGTGATGGAAAAATAAAGAGGGGAAATTTATTAAGACCCCCACCCATTCCCCTATAATGTAATGTAATTACATTAAAGAACTGGTTTTAAAATGGGTGTTATTTGCTTGTTTGATTCCACTATGATAGACATAAATAGGTCAATAAAACTGCAGGCTACGATGCATTCTAACAGATTCAAGAGAACAACAAAAATCTGTAGACCAGGGACTGTGTATTGTGGGTTCTGTACAGCAACAACCATGCTGTCTGGTATCAAATAATTAGCAGGACTTTGATGGTGAGTAGAATCTAAAACCAAAACTGAGATGGTTTATTGGACAGGATTATGGAATGTAGGAATTCACACTTCCCTCTTAAAAATATACTGCATTCTACTCTTTACAAGAAATCTTCGGTACTCTAACACTGAATCCAGGAATGGGGAAAATAGACTGAACCACTCCTTAAAATTTAGAAATTGGCCCAATACTGAGCTCCAGGCAGGTGGAGACTCTAACTTCAATGAGGCGCCAATCAGAGTCTAATGTACTAGCTAGTATATTTTAGAGAAAGCATAGATTAAATACGGATATGTACTAAACCTAAATGTAACAAGTCCACCTCTACCCTGATATAACGCGACCCGATATAACACAAATTCGGATATAACGCGGTAAAGCAGTGCGTCCGGGGGG